GCAGTAGCAGGCTTTGGACAATGGCAGCATCAGTAAAGGATCGCTGCTCTCCAATAACTTAAGATTTATCATTTCATAACTTTTCGAATCGTGCTCATTGACTTAACGTTACGCAATCGCCTTACGCCAATCGGCTTATCCTGGTTTTGAGTGCAAAAGACATCTTACTTTAAAAATAAAGTTAAATATCACCTCTACTTCACGCCAGATCTGCTGTGAATGGGTTTGCAGCGCCACTGCAACTACTGGATTATCAGCACTACTCAGCGAATTTCCTGCCATAATATCTAAACACGCATCCTCCCACTCTCATGTTTCAGCCCCAAATCATAATTTTTCTGCGTTTTTTCTATGAAAAAAAAACCAGCATGAAAGTCATACCTACGTAGCAACAGATTGAGCCTTCCTCTCTCCGCGTCGCATGTTGAAAAACAAAGACAAGAAGAATCAGCCAGGCGAGATAATGACGTCATAAACAGGCGCCCTGGTTTCGCAAAGCATTCCGGGACTTGAAGTCGAGTAGCCTGAAAGGGGCGTGGTTACAGGAGCGAACGCGTCACCAACACCAGGATTGTGGCGGGGTGTAGCCTCACTTGCAGGCAACGGGTGCAACATCAACCGAAAAAACACGATAGCTATAAACATTGTGGTTAGAATTTTGGATTTGGAACTGTTAGGTTTTCAGTTTCCAGAGTTGGGATGCTGATGTTATGCTTTAGTCGGGTACTCATCAGCCATCTGTAACACTGACACAGATCACAGTGAGACTGGGGCTCCTTTAAAGCTCTCTGCTCCAGACTGCAGGGAGATGAGTCTCCTGACTCTATAAGGGCCAGAGCAGGACACAGCTAACACAAACTGCACAAAAAAGACAGCAGGCTCGTTCATCTGACCACTAATGACATTTATTATCAACACAAGCACAGTGGACAGAGCTGTGTCAGGACAGACAGACGCCCAGTTTTCACTCCGCAAAGCTGACAGGATCCCGGATCTGGGCAAAGGGGCACGAGGGGGGTGTCCGGTGGCAGGGGGTGGGTGAAGGCTCAGTCGGATCGCAGTGCTCCGGGGGTCCGGTCCCGCCCCCAGAGCCAGCGGCTAGCGACAGCGGAGCGTGCCCCAGCTCGCGGGCGCTGCCGACAGCTCCGCCACACCACCGGTCACCTCCAGCGAGGGGAGGGAAGGGGGAGGGAATGTCGGGCTGTAAATCGATAAAACGAATAAAATAAATAAACACACACACTCCCCCACCCCCCGCCCCTCTGGCTGTTAGTGGGGGTCCGTGTTCGGGGGCCGATGGCGGGGCGCAGTGTCGCCGGGGAGACGGGGCGGGGGCGGCTGCAGGAGGGGGTGCTTGGCGCTCATGTGCCGCTCTCTGGTCTTCCTGTCGCTGAAGGCGATGTGGCACAGCTGGCACCGCCAGGACAGGCCGCGGGCGCCGCCGTCCGCTGGGAGGGGGACAGGAAATGACATCACCACTCAGAATGACACTGACAATCCTGCGGCCGTCCACTGGAGGGCGGGCCCTCAAGGGACGGATCTACGGTCTAGGATGACAGACGCGTCTTGCTTCAATAACAGGGCAGGAGGCAGCAGGCTGGCGAAGAGGTCCTGGGATTGCATCTGGGCTGCAGCATCGGTTTCTGTCCAGGTGCTCCATCTTCCTCCCATCTTCCTCCCATCTTCCCTCCTCTGACCCCCTTCCTCGTTAACCCCCCAGTCTGGGCCCCTTCCTCCTTC